CTGGTTCTTACTAGGGAATAATGGAATATAATCCCTACACAATCGATTCCCTTATTCCCTACTAGGAATCAGCAAGTTACAAAGACTTCAGAGTACCAGCCAACTTAAGCCAATAATTTATCATAGTGATGGTAGTAGTACTCGAGGCCACATGACTTGCCAGGTCTGGTGGAAATAGATCGCATGAGGTTTAGTCTAAACTCCTATTATCCCCCTTAATGAACCCTATAATACTCCACTATATAACCCCCTCTAGGAGTATAGATTATAAATCATATGGCTCCGTAGTTGTAGCAATCATATCAAAAACGCAAGCACTGGGAGTTGAGGTATGGTCTCATCAGCACACACTTAGTTTCTGTTGCATGCCTCGCGCATCACCTGGTTTGGAAGTGGCACACTTTTTCGATCGGTGCAGTGCAGGAACCTGATAATGCTAGAACCTTGTAGAAAATCAACCGAGAAAGGTACGTCTCTGGTCTTGGGCAAATCTTCTGAAACACAAAAGTCTCAGAGAGGCACTGCAGTTCTCCCTTGTTTCGAATCCGTGCCAGTGGCCTCCACTGAGTCCTTCGGGACGGTCTCCCTCAGGATGCGGATAGCCTGATGTGGCCATCCACCAGTTCGGGTTTGTGTGTCCACTTGGCTTTGGAATTCACATTTGGACTCTGACCACAAAAAAAAGGCTTCCGAAACAGTACGTTGCTTGCTAACAGCACTACAGACTTGAGGTTGTTTCGAGGTGCAGCATGATTGCAAAATACTCAGACCCTCCAAACAAAGAAAGGAGACGGCCTCCCTCCCGCCTGATTAAAACTGTGGGCGTGGGGCGTGCCCCTAAATTGTCGAGCTTCAAAGGGCAGTCATGCTGGACTGACATCTCAGTGCGGCATGGCAATTCGAAGCCAGAATACATTTTTGTGCGGGCTTGCGAGGTGTATGGCAGGTGATTCTCCCATCCAAGCGCATGGCGTCCTTCTTTACTGGCCGACTCATCTAGAAAACTTTGTTTTTGGTCGCTCACCGCAACTAGTAACTAGCAATCCCAAGGAACAGTGTCACAATGACCTTTATTGGGCCTCAAATCTCCTATGACGGGACCTTAAAGTTTAGAAGCCTCCGGTATGGCCCGCAACATCCTTGATGGCTCCGGTCGACGGCAGGACCCGGAAAGTCCCTACAAAATCCTAAGCCAGCAAAGCCTAGACCCACAAATGACTTCACAGCTAGGCCCGTAATGACTTCATAACTTCATAATCCTACGTTCATTTCAGCGTACCTCCGCTGCCAAGGCGAAAGCCACGCGCATGGGATACTCGCCTGGGTTAGCATTCGGATCCCCCCCCGAATGGGACGGCCCTTAAGAAGTACCTGCTCACGGCGGATCATCTCGGGAATCCAGGATCTACCTCAAGCATGGGCAATGCTGCCCCTTGGGGGCGAGCATACGTCATATTTTGCCTACCAAGCCACCGTTGCCAAACAAGCAAAATAGCGTAGGGGCCCACATGGAGTACTGAAGAGGGGCAGTACCCTCCTCACCATCCGTGAGGGTCCTTACGAGTGCTGACTGCTTGCTAGGCTGTCTGATCCTAAATTCAGCACAAAGGATCCTTAGCACCATCCCACAGTCCATTACTCCTGAGACCAGCCCAGGAATGACAGGATGTGAGGCCCAGACCGTCTACAAGCACAGTGGCCGTAATGGTCGGGCCATTTGCCTGATCACTATGGTAGGCAGGACATATTCGGGCCTGATAGGAAGTAGATGTGAGTGGCAAACACAAGTATTCGTCGCTATCGCAGGATGATTTACTGCCAGAAGCACATTTCTCGCAATGCTTGGTTCACGTTCTGGTCTGGTCAGTACCTGTCGCTTTCAAGCTACGAAAAAGTAGCATGACAACTGTGGGGTATCGTCGTCAAGTTGACGTCTATCAGACCCTTCAAGACAGACCAACTTTCTGTTGAATCGTCACATCTTCCCGCTGCCTGCGAGCACTGCCAATCCTTTGATAGTGTTGTTGGGCAGGCTGGAGGAATTTCTGCGGAAACTGTAGATGTATTTGGCAACTATCCAAGCTGCTCATGTTAAGGTGGCTCCTATACCTGGCCTCTGGGTGAGACCAGGAGTAGCATTTTCCCAGGTTCTGGTCAAAGTCGATGCTTTGTCGTTGTCCTCTGCTGTGAGGATGCTGTTGCAAGACTCGACCCTGACTGAGCAAATCTCTGCTCGTACTTGCAACCCCACAACTGCTTCTTCACCATAATCCTGGTGTCGGAGCATGCCTGTCGTTGCCTTACACATGAGGTCTGCCGATTGATAATGGGAATGTGATCTGCTAACTTTGCGATTTCTTCTTGGGCTCTACCTCTGTTTGCCCAGTCAAGCCAACCATCAAACAAGCAGGCAAAGAAAGGCTGCGTGAACTACTGGACGGATCTCCTGGCGGTGTGCGCGAGGCGATCAGGCGGCTGTGGAACCTTCCCAGGACCCAGGAAGTCCCCAACGTCCTTGTACTAAAGAAATGTGACTCCAATTATGTCACGGCTTGGATGTTATGTGAACCTGTCCTTCAACATTCTCGACTTGGTAGCCCATGAGCGCCGAAGGGTCTCCCACAATTTGCAATTAGGGCTTCGTGGCAGCGCGGAAAACATTCTGTTGCAAGCATTGCCAGTGTCAACAGTACTACCATTGCTTTTCCTGATGTGCACTCCAGTGGACTTTTTGCCCTGCTGTTGTTGCTGGAAGCATCAAGCCAGAAACACAAGTTCCCGACTTGATGTGTTCACGGAGAGGCCCTCGATGGAAAAAGCTGAACGAGCTCCTCAGCGTTCCAAGAACGGGAAAGCTGTTTAAGACAGTTTAAGGCTAAAGGCGAGGCATAACCAACTGAAATTCAAGGAGCCCTATGAAACATGTGCTCCAAACTGCTATTCGGGTCCCTTTAGCAGGTGCCACTCAAGTGGCTCAAACAGTCAGGATTCAATTCACATTGCACTGCGAGCTAAGTTGGGGCTCTACAAGGAGGACTTTTCCTTGGCGTTTTCATGTCAAGTCCTGCGTTGGATATTGAACCCAAAGCTCTACATCCAAACGATCATAAAGCAAACATGCTGAGGCTGTGGCAGCTCCTCGCAGGTCACCAGCTCAACGCTGTTGTCCTGTCTCACAGCATGTCCCCTCCCCCGCTGCGGATTTCAAATGAGGCAAACAAGGCACCCTGAAGAACGAGCGGAATGTGACGAAAACTCACAATCTCAGTCACCTGCGTCAATTAAGCTAAGTTCTCACTGCATGTTGAGACTCCTGCCTGCTTTTCCGAAGAACCTACTAAGCACCATGACTTGTGGTACTCCGTAGATGCAAGTAAGACTATTACCCTCTAATCCTGTGGATTTTCCAGAGCCCTTCGCTAAACATCGAGGAAAATCTTGATGCCGGGTTACAAGGACAGACTGTGTGGAACTTCTTCTAGGCCATGGCATTTCACAAAATCCCTGGATGCAGGACCTCAATATGGGGTATATGGGGTCAACGACAGAACTTGGTTTGGGTCGCACTGGAGGATACCGTGCCCATCCCAAGAGCCCTGTGCTTCTCCAATCCTCCTGCCACCTGTAGAGGATGAGAGAGAGGAGCTTCATCGAATTGTACCTGGAAGGACATGGTTTAGCCTGTGCCCCACGCAACCGAGGGCGCTGAACCTTCCTTGCACCGCATGAATCATCTCCGTTAAGCCACTTGCTGTGCGGATGGTCCAGCGGGCGCACTAGCTCCCAAAAATGAAGCCGAAAGGCAGCTCAGTGCCTAGTAGGCAAGCTTTTCAAAGATATGGACCGAAATCCTGAAAGAAGTTCTCCTGAGGTACCTAATGGGAAATGTGTACTATGAAGAGATCATGACGATCTCCTTCGCGGAGGGATTATGTAAGGAACCTTTTGACGAAAGGTTCAGCAAGTCGCTCTCAGGTAAAGGTTGTAAGACCTTTCGGAGCGCCAAATGGCTGCAATATGTACAAGTGGTTGGCAAGTGGCAGTTGTATGTGGCAAAATTTCGCAAAGCCATCTGATTCTTACTTCCCAAAGTAAGAGAACTCGCAAAGCAGTCCTACAAAGTAAAAAGCACTTTACACCCAATCAAGTTGGTAGAGTGGGACAAGGCAAGCCAGACAGGGCCACTTATGGCACAAGTTTCAGCACAGTGGGACAACCTACCAAAGCGTGTCCTACTACAGCTACCCGCTCTATGACAAGAACTTGGCTCAGGAGCCTCTACGTTGTCATCTGACGATGATCAGGGGGACTTCTATGAAAAAGTCTGGCCCAAAAACCTGGCAGACCTCTGGCTTCAGCTGGCCCCTACTTGCATGGGTAGCATAATGAACCCGCATTTACAGCTCTCTCAAAACTGAAGACACTCCATCTGAAACCCTATTTAGACCTTGGAAGTGGGCCTGGAAATAACGCTTGCAAGAAAGATGAACCAATGTAGCAGTAACCCAAAAGCAAGGACCAGTACTACGGGTACCACGCGAATCTGGAGACAGGCGCTTTTGAGGCCCCCTTTCTGAGGGACGCACGGGAGGCCTGAAATCTTTTTGGTCGATGAACAGCTTTTGTCTCACGACCCTACAGGCCCTCTTGAGCCACAGAGGCTGCAGGAGAGAATGTCGGCTGGGGTGTAACCCACAAACCAGGTGGTGTGAAAATGTGTGAAAGGAGTGCTGTGAAAGAGCTGATGCAGAAGCGATGCAGCCAGCTGGACACTAAAACGCCCCCTATACCTTCCCTTGTTTATAAACCCCTGTAAAACCCTGTGTATAACCCCAAGCCGGGTGGGAAAGCTGCTTTTCTTCACGGGCAAAGTGCAGGGCCTTGTCCTTCAGCCGAGCACTTGAAGCCGTAGGTAGCAGCCAGCATTCATGCTAGGCAGCGTGCGTCAGTGCTTGACGACCTTGCTTTGCGTACCAGCTGTCGGCATGTTTTCTGATTTATCTCTCCCCTGGCTGGCTTTGTCTTCTGCTACAAACTGAAGGACAACGCATGGCGCCCAAAATTGGAACTAACGCACGGATCCAGGGAATCCAGCCACTACATTCTTTCCTTGGCTCCTAAGCACCCGCGAGCTGCGCCAGCTACCCAAGGGCCCCGCCTTGAACTTTTGGCGTTCTGCCTTCTTCTCTTTCTTCTCCATCCGCTTCTTGTACTCACAGGTAAGCAAGAGTTCACCCATGATAAATGGTAGCTTCCCAAAATAGGGGGACCCCAATATAGATCCCAAAATACTATAGTCCTTATTATGGGGACCCCCAAAATGGTACCCCTAATTTTAGGAAACCCCCAGATTGCGCAGTGAGGCTGCAGCCTGCCTCAGGATCATTTTCTGCCATCTCTGCCTCTGTAGGTGTGAAGACCTTAGCTACCCACGGAATCCCAGACTGATGTATTCAGGTCAAAGTCAGGATCTTCTGAGAATGCCTGATTTGAGACAGCGCTAATTCGCCACAAACTGCAGACAGCAAATCTGTAGCCCTGGCTGGTTTCTTCGCAGCTCCTCTCAACAAAGACTGAATTCTTCCAGGAGAACTTGCCCACAGATAATCAAGTCGCCTCAATTAGTTTGTGAGGCGCGCGCATAGTCCATGACCAACTTCACAATCTTCCAACCCGCATAGCCGGGGACCTGCGGTGTTAGGATTATGACTGATGTTCACTTGGACTTCGTGTCTGCCATTAATCCCTTCCCCTTAAGATGAAATCCCGAATATTTGAAGATTAATCCTTTCCCCCAATATTCATCCCACCTGATATTGAATAAGAAATTCCGTGGCCTAAAATATGGAAGAACACTGTTGAAAGGGCAAGACTACTTTACAAGGGGCCACCTGATGATGAATTAGGGGTGTTCTGGAATTATCAATCGATTTGTCCATTAGCCAGTTAAACTAAGTCATTGCAATTCACGTAAACTTAATTGTTACTTAATGTGATTAACTAACTGAATCAACAAACTATTGATGTTTCATGGAGCTTAAAGGAGTTTAAAGGCGGCCTATCTGATTTTGCTCAACAAATAATGCCCAATAGAATTAAGCAGTTTTTCGGGCCTCGGAATATCTACAATGACGGGGGAGGTGACGTCGTTTGATATTTCAAGGAAGCGGTTATCGTGCTAACTGACAGCAGGGAAGTCATGGCTGCTTGCACCTCCAGTAAGACAGGCAGAACACTTTGTCATGACCTTTGGATCCCTAACATTAGTCCTAAACCCTAAATGGTAGTTTCCATTTTCTTTTCCATTATTCCTATATAACCCCTATACAACACCATTATGGTAGTTTCCATTTTCTTTTCCATTATTCCTAAATAACCCCTATATAACACCATTATGTATCCAGGATCCAACAATGAGGCCACGGCTGCGAGGTACAGGAGCCAACCGTAGTCGCTAAAGGTTACCTGCAGCTGCGCATTCGCATTTTGACCGAAGATACCGCAGGATGTGCTGAGGCTCACAAAGCTGTGGGATCCATGCATGCGCAATAGCCAGCCAGTTTAGTCAGAGGCATGGACGACTTTTGAGCTGGAATCATGCTGCAAATGTGCTCTGAATATCTTTCCCTGTCCAAAGCCACCCCCTTATCATGAGTATATTGTATATCTCGGGGTCCAAAATCCCGGAAGAGAAGTTTGCACAGGCCAGAAAGTGTTTCAAAAGGCTCCAATGGGGGTCTCAAATTGAAAGAGAGGGGTTGGTAGGAAGGAATTACGAAGGGGCTGGTATGACTGCTTGGAGGACCTCCAACCAGATGAAAAGAATTTCCGCATGTACTCATGCAGTAGCTTGAAAACACAGAGGTATGCTAAGGACACCTGGCACGTACAGTGAGTGCAAAGACATTCTCGGGCCGCTACCATCCCCTATTATTCTGTTATGACTACTATGTTACAATTACTACTAGTAATAGTATTAGTATTATTCTTGTTATTCGTAATAATTTATGCAGCACGTATTCTTAGAAGCTCTCATGTCGAACAAGCAGCTAGAGCTTGGGTGGCCAAGTTGACGAGAAAGAGGTCCTTCCGTGTTGGCTCGGGCTTTGACTACGCCAGGGGCCTTGGGATCTTTCCAGATAAAAGGGGTCCAAACATAGAGATCCCAATACACTAAAGTTCATGTTAGGTCCCCCCCAAAAGACGGATCCCTAAGTTTTGGAAATCCGCCTTCCGCAAATTTCATTATCAATGAAAAACTGAGCCAGCACTCAGAAGTTTGAGAAACAATTCCTGCATGGGATTCAAAAAAACAAGAATCTTTCTGGTAGACCCCAACAATTTGCTCAGCCCCCTGCGTTGCGAACCACCCCCCCTCCCCGAAATCGCAGCGCAAAGCAGCACAGATCCATGCTCCCGAACCAAGATGTATGTGTTGCAGGCACTTGTTCTGCAGTAGAGACTGGAAAGCTGTAACATCAGCATCACCCTGCATCAGACCTGAACTGAAGGTCCTGCATGGCCTAAGTGTACTGTGACACCATCATTCCCCAGGCTTGAGGTACGTAGGGTCATGCAGCATTTAAAGTACCCACCCCAAGAACAAGGAAAAGCAGCAGCGACAGCCTATGTTCATGTTTCAACTTTTGGCAATCACTGTACTTGGAGGGTCGGGTGGATTTAGTAAGTAGCTGGAAGGTTCTACTGGTTGTAGCTTCCCAGTAAACATCTCCAAAGTGCCGATTGATCAGAACACACAGGGTTTAGGAGAAAGGGTTCAGGATTCCACCACCCATAGGCCCAGGGTACCCCATGCTGTCCAAATACATCTCGTAGTTTGCTCCCACTTCCAAGGAGGACTTGATGGCTCCAAACCTGAGTTCCAGGGATTGGGTGTCAGAATTTGACAGCCCTTAATGTGAAAAACTGCGTGCAAAACTGGGTTCTGCTATCCAGGTGATAGTGGTCAGTACATGATGCTGCCCCAGAATGGGGGTTCGCAAGTCAGGTTGTTGGACCTAAAGTCATTACACTTTATGCTGCCAAAACGTCCATGGAACGCACCTATTCCCTGGAAGCTGTTGAGGTGTACTGCCAAAGTTGCCGATGCAATCAGTTGACACCTCATGTATAAATACCCTGAAAGAAATATGTCCAGGCTGTATGACAGCTGGCAAATTCGCACCTCAGAAGGCCTACGAAAACTCGAGAGATGCCCTGACGACAAAGCTTACGTGCTTGGAAACTCGTGTATGAACTCCAAGTGCTGCAACTTCTCAGCCCTCTAAGCCCCTGGCGTGAAGTAAGACACTCCGGTAAAGAGCAGCATACCGCACCTAACGAATGATATTCTTGCTTTTGCTGTCGGGGTCGCAGGGTTTTTGTAAGGTTTACACAAATGTGTTTTCAGGATTGCAAGGATTATGACGGGGATGATTTCCTTTGAAATTTGTTCGCTTCAATGCTCAAGGAGCTGCACAGATCAAGAACTGACAATCTCCAAGGGCAAGGCCCCTCCAGCATCATTAGCTTGAGCCATTTTTGCATAGTTTTCCCCTCAACATAATTTCCAGTGTCCATTTGATGTTCCATGCTCTTTTCCGTTGATTCTCCATTATTGGACCCTAAGCCTTACATGGCCCTGCACGATCCCTATAAAGCCATTTGGAAGGAGGGGGAGGGGCTTATCAGCGACTAGTTTCTATTTGAAACAGGCCGAGGCGCAAGTTCCACTTCCCCATGGAGGACCAGAACATAAACACCCGGCCCAGGAAGTACAGGGCATTCACAGCAATGATGCCATAAAGGTAGTACCTGATGCACATCTGAGGAAAGCCTGGCAAAGAATTTAAAGTCTGGGGCTCTTGCTGGATGGATGACTCCGCCTTCTTAGCCTGGAGAACTCGCTGCAGAAATCTGAGCTTTATCGCCTGTGACTTGTTCCTGTGCCCTACTGTTACAGCACAAGTCCAAGCCAGCAATTGTAGCCCATATTCATAAAAGAAAGTCTTGAACAAGCGTGCGGCTCAACCTATGCCGCTCCATGACAAGGTGCGTGGACGCTTCGTCATGCCAAGGGCTTAAGGCACAGTGACTGCCGAGCCTGCTTTTTCTCGGCTTGGCCGGCCATGATTACACACCAGCTTGGACACTGTTTTCAGAAATTCTTCTTGTCCAATGTGGTAAGAGTTCTGTCTGAGGCGCTTGTGAATGGCTTGGGGGCTGGTCCAATGGGGTCCTGCTACAGCAAGTTGAGCTTCTTCGCTGCTTTGTCAATGAGCATACACCTGTTGATGCGGCTGGAAGCTTTTACCGAACCTATGACATTCATGGGGTACCACAGCTGGGTGAGCCGGAGTTCATGCAAAGCATGGACAACCCCGACCTGCAAGCAAGAAAGCTCTGCTGGGCAGAGAGTGTGATGATCATATCGCTGTGGCTGGCTAATTTTCACGCTCAGGCTTTGCTCATTGCACGACATCGTAATGGATTCTTCATGCGCTGGTGACACTGATTTGCGGTGAAGCTACTGAGTCTGACGCATTAACGAAGTTCGCATCCACAGTGCAATCCGACATAAGCCTAGAGTCCGTACAGCAAGTCCTCATGGACGCCACAGTTCACTACTATATCACACTGGCAATCGTTCTCGTGATGATGGTGGTTAGAACGGCTTCCTGGCTACTCTCATTAATCTGTTGTTCTGGCTGCCGCTGCTACTACTACAATGATAGCAGTATGCGTCGTCATCGTCATAGTACAGTAGCAGTAGCAGCACCAGCGGTATGGCTGGCACCCACCCTGTTGCTGTCGTTCTTGTTGCTACTTCTAGTGTCCAAACTCAGCAACTGTCTCCGGAACGCTTCTCAGCCTCGATATCTGGTGTGCCTCAAGAGTGACACACTGAGCCTTCTCAAACAAGAACGACGCTGGGTACTGTAACAGCAGGATTTTGGACTTTGGGTTGAAGTGAAAACTGGTTACTGTTTGGCTCCAGGTGGATGTGGAGCTCGTAGGAGACTTGAGGGGGGAGGGGGCAAGGCTTTGATGGCATTTATGTGGAAATGTTTCTGTCGTTATGGAGGTTTTCGGGGATTAGTCAGTTTGGGGTCTTGAGTTGTTCCTCGAGTTTGACTGCTATGCGAGGCGGTGCCTCGAAATGGCTGAGGCAGGGTTTTGAGTGCTGCCTGTCCTAATTAGTCAGAACGGGATGCGCAAATGTGTCAACAAATTTGCAATAGATACAGCATGCCCAGCTCAGGTTTCTTTCAGACAGCGTTGAAAACCAATGGATTTGAATGGAACTGCAGGGCTTGCGTCAAACAAGCCGATGTGGACATTTGGGCAAAACTTTCAGTCTCCGGCAATGTGCGATTTTCTGTGGGGTACATCGCTTTGACTATACTAAGCAACACAATCTTACAATATGGCTGCATTCATAACGCTCTCGTCTGCGTCTCTGCTTGCCGATGCAGTAAATCCAGAAATGTCCTCATAGAAGTCATAGCTACTTACATATGGCTCAAGTGACCCAGAGCCCCTTGCAGAAAGCTGAATCGGGGGATGTGGCTTCGATGGAACAAACGAGTTGGATTTGAATCTTCCGTCTATATTTTGAGCTATAGTCTAAACTCCTAGTATCCCCCTTAATAACCCCTACAGTAGTCTCCTATATAATCCCTGTATAACCCCCCCTTAAGGAGTTTAGACTATGGCTCACTTTGAGGCATTTTGCCTAGTAACCACTGAAAGGGACACCCTGAGCTCCAAAACTAGGAAGTTTTTATTGGGGTTATATGGGGGCTACATAGGGTTACATAGGGTTATATAGTGGCTATATAGGTGGCATATCCAGCCACAAGTCAAGCAAAGTGGCGACTTCGAGGTTGATGCTTGTACCTGAGCTCGGATTTTTTGCTTCCTGTTGGTACCAGTGCTCAGGAATCCAGCCCTACAAGCAGCCTCAAACTCTAAACATACCCCAGCAAGTGGCAACTAGCACGGGCACTGTGAAGCTGACCGTGAATTCGGGAACAATTCCAACATCTCACTTGGGAGTTCGTCAACTTTGCCCCATAGAATTGCCCATGTAACCCTAGGGTTCCTGAGAGGGCTGTTTAGAGAAACATCAACTTGTTTCCGCAACGCTGGGCTCTCTGGTGATAGGCTCGTGGCCGTGACGACTTCCTCTTTCAGGGCCTGCGCATGCATGCCACCTGTTAGATGCCACCTACTCTGTGGACCATGCTTGCGACGGGAACATGAATGTTTTCGAAGTCTTTGGGACACACCTCCCTGAATGCTGACGCAAGATCGTCTCCCACGCTTTAGGTGCCAACTGGAAAAAGAACAAATTCATGAGCTCACGAATGGATTGCAGGACAAGTTTGTCTCGCTCCTGACCCTGCGGCGCCGAAGGTAAGCTTGTCTTTCGCAGCATCCTCAGGGCGTCTTTGGCAGTGTCCTCGCCGACCACCCACTCAAGATCCATTCTCTCTACCATGCCTTGATACGTTGCTGTAGAAATGGCAGTCAGAAAGCATTCCAGATACCTGCCTGACCGCCGTAGGACCGCAGCATGTTCGAGATAATGCCACGTGCCTGACTCATGTGAACAGCATGTACCATTGCCAATGAGCTGCAGCAGCTGCCAGCAAAACAAAGCCTCCTTCTGCTCATCGTTGTCACTCTCGCAAGTCCGTTTGGCCAATGCCCTGCCAGCTCTGCTGCAGTGTGGCATGAATCAATAGCTGGGAAATCCAAAGCTAGGTCCCTGACAAAGGAGTGTCGTTGGCACGGGTGACCACGTTTGGGTCAGCCTTGAGCCTGGCACAAACTTTGCACGAGAAGCAGTGACGTATTGACTCATGAAAGAAGTGCAACCACCCTTCGGAGCACTCACCGCTCACAGCTTTCTGCAAACATGCAAGCATGGCTCGAGAAGTTTGAAGGACATGGGCAAGCAAGCGTCCGCGCAGGCCACGCACAGAGGCGTCCACTGGCGGGTCGTAAAAGCTCGTAGGTCTTGCGTTGTTGCAATTGTGTCTCAAGATGGCAGACCTTCTGTAACATAGTCCTGAATACAAGGCCCTTGAAAATGGACGCATGATCTTGCAAAACCCCAGCTGCTCTTGACTTTCTCAAATGTGTCTCAGAAATCATGTTTGCTTTCCATCACTAGTTGCTATGTACCATCACAAGGTTTAACCAGGCAATAGCTGTGCAACTACTCTAATCAACGCACGGAGTCGTATCCAGGTTCTGTGTTGCTATTGTGATTTCTACCTTCTTGTCCCTGACGCTGCTCTGCCTCAGACTCCTCCTCCGCCTCCTCCTCCACGACTACTACCTCGTGCTGTCCTGCAACCATTCCTCCTCCTTAACGGCAACTATTCCTTCAAGCTATGATTCTTGCAGTCGCTAGAAAGCCGGTGATAGCACTCTACAAGAAGTATTGTGTGCGGCCGTCACAAGCAGCGCGCGCACCCCGTCAGACTGACGCGGAGCGTCAATGTCCAGGGCGCCCTCCGAGTTGCCATCCGTGAGGGCTTTCTGCGCAGGGTAGGAGCAGAGCAGGAGCATGAAAAATCCCGTGTACCAATGTATTCTACTAACCCCTATTAACTAAGGCACTTCAGGTACGACTAGCATATGTAGCAACAGATAATGTGGAGCGTTGCTCATGCTCATGGCCTGATAACCTATGAAGATAGACCATAACATGAAGATATAGCGGTATAGATATTTTGGTAACACTGCTGTTGGCACTACAAGTAGCACTGCGAAAAGCACCACGGTCGATGTTTTGGGTGCAGGCATCTTGTATGGCAGAGTTAACCATTTGGTTCTGCAGTTGTATTGATACTGATAGCTGTCTGACCGGTGTCCATAGCCAGAAGACGGCATGCTTCCCTGCTTGAAGAGGAGACTTTTTGGCTGAAGAAGCTTTTGGGACCTGACTGATTTGTAGTAGTCATGCGCCCTCAGACGTCTTGACCGACTCCCATGGAAGACGCTCAAAGATCCTACTCGCGAAGTCAGACGCATGGCCATCTTACCGCGAATGACTTGAAGGGGGCAGGCACCACGATGCGCCAGGAATTGCTGAAATTGTCCCGGTTGACGAGCTCGCACACAAGATGCAGCGCCTCTCTCCAACGAAAACTGCACACCATCTTCTGAATTCTGACTAGAATTACCGACTTGCTCAGCTTTGACGGATACAAGTTGAATGGAATAGTTCGGTTCCCTGCATCACATAGCATCATACATTTTGGGATGGAACAACGGGACCCAAATTGTGGGAACTGCCCCCATCTCCGCATAACGCCCACATGATCCCTGCACAACCTGTACAATACCTGCAGGACATCTCAGAGAAGCCTCTACAACGGCCCTCAGATGCAAACCCACGAGGTCACTAAATGCAGCTATATGAGACCCTAAACCGTACCTTGAAAAGGCCCAACGACGCTTACTCTCTACCTTGTCCAGGCTGGTGGTCTCTTTGTTATTCCCTTGTTCAAGCCCTTGTTTACCTAACGTAATCTTTGTGAGGCCAGGATCCTTGTACATCTAGACAGAAAGAAAACAGAACGCGACGCATTGCAGGCCCATTCTTACAGAGTCATGGCGGTGAGGTAGTTTAATGCATTCCTTTTGTATTCGTAGTTGTAAATGTCAGTTCTGCATTGTCCGTAACAGATTTCAAATTCCGTCATGGACTTTAGCGTTAATTTATACATTATATATATATATATGGGCCTATAAAGGAAAGAGCTAGGTTTTGGAGGAGAAGGAAAAAACAGCTTCTTTAGACTACACTCCACATATGTGCCATAGGAATACTGTGGGCCCCCAATATGAACCAGCTCAAGCAAAAATGACAAGGCTATCGGTGGCTTCAAGCATCCATGTGTGGTTCTACATGGCATAATCCATATAAGCCCCTGTATACACTCAGCTTTCATTTTGTGATCCATGTCCTTTTCCGTGCGATTCTCCATGATTGGGGTAACATCCCAAAACCCTAAGTATCCCTATACCCCCCGCCCCATGGTAGTTGCCAAAAATTAGGGGATCCCAGTATAGATCCCATTCCACTGCAATCCTTATTAGGGGGCCAAGATTGTACTCCTGATATGGGGAAACCCCCATAAAATCCCAACATCTAGCCCCTAAACCCTAAACCCCTAAACCCCTAAACCCTACTCCCCATACATGTGGGCGTCTACATGAGCCATAGTCTAAAGACTCCTAATATCCCCCTTAATAAGCCCTATAGTAGTCCCCTATATAATCCCCTACACATGAGGCCTGCGAAAGTTGGGAGCTCTGCAGTGGCACTCCCCAGTCTACGAGCCTTTGCGGAGTTGGGGTTGGGGGGGTGAAGGGTTCAGGGGTGAAAGGGTTTAGGATTTGGGGGGTTTGAAGGGTTTAGGGTTTAGGGTTAGGATTTGCGGGGTTTGAAGGTTAAGGGGTCAGGGGTCAAGGGTTCAGGGGTTATGGGTTCAGGGCTCAAAGGTTTAGGATTTCAGCGCCAAGATGCGCCAAGTGTCTCGAGTTTAAAGGTTAAGGCTTCAAGGGTTAAATGCTTGTAGGGTTTGGTGGTTAAGGGTCCAGGGGTTCAGACTTACAGGCTTAGGGGTGTAGGGTTAAGTGTTCAGGGGTCGAGGTTTTACCGCTTGATGGTTAAGGGGTTCACGCGGGAGGTTTAGGGGTTAAAAGTCAATGGTCGAGGCGTTAAGGGTTTAGGGGTTAAAGGTTTGTTTATAGAGTTTAAGGGTTGGGGGGCAGGGCTCCATGTTGAGGGGAACCTGGAACGGCTTGAATTGATTGTCCGGAAGTAGGAAGACAGGGAAAACATCAAGTTTTCTATTCACCTTCGATCTGTTTTAGGACTTAAGGTTCCATCTTCTACAATCGACATCTGAGTAAATGTGCACATTGCAGGCCTCGTGCGGAATGCTTAGAGTGTATGGTGGCTTAAGGGTTGATTGCAGAGACATTGTAGGAGGGTGATCTTACCACTTTTCATGAAGCGTGGCAGAAACTAATATGAGCTTCCAGCAGAAGACTTGAACCCCAAAGGGTTAAGACCCTGAAGCCTTGACCCCACAAAACTATGCGCAAAGCGAGGCAAGACTCCAAATCTCCAAAGCAGGCTCCTGGGTTGCTGCTAAGTAACTTAAACTAAGTTACCATCATGGGATATAAAATTAAGTTACCATAATGGGATATAAAATTAAGTTACCATAATGGGATGTAATGGGTATATCTAGTAATTAATAGGGTTTCAATGAAGTTCCTTAACAGCAACCCAGGTTCACCTGCGTCTGGAGCTGAGGTCCGGGCTGCTGAGTGATCTCCAGCAGCGAGGACTTAGCGACACTTCAGTTGACACAGCAATGCTCAGCTTACATATTGGGGTTATATAGAGTTTTCTTGGGATAATGGACAATAAAATGGAACTACTATTTAGGGTTTAGGATGGTCTAGGGTTTAGGGTCTAGGGTTTAGAAGGGTTTAGGGTTAGATTTTCAAGTGGCTTTTGCTGGGGAAGCCCGATAGAACATGATTGTGAATGTAGCACCCTCCATCTTTATACATCATGATGTGAGCCATAGTCTAAACTCCGAATATCCCCCTTATTAACAATCCCTATCCTACTCCCCACTACTCCCCTATATAACCCCCATTAAGGAGTTTAGACCCTAAACCCTACATAATCCCCCATTAAGGAGTTTAGACCCTAAACCCTAAAGCCTATATAACAACCTTTTAAGGAGTTTAGACCCTAAACCCTATAGAACCCCCCCCCCTTTTAGCAGCTTAGACTACAGCTCCTTAGTAGACATGGCAAAGGTCAGCACCTTCAAGGCCATCACGAAGGCCTGCAAGATGAAGGCCTCGGAGGAAAAGTTTGCTTCATCTTCTATCCAAAGTTTTGTTGATAGTAGCATTACAGGGGTATACATATGGGGATTACATAGGGATTATATACAAACATATATATGTATATAAGCGATCCCCTCCCCCTCCCTCCTTTAGGCACTAGAAAGAAGCGCATCGATAGAAAGTAGCTGCCTACAATTGACGAGAACGCCAAGTTCAAGGCTTGTATGAACTCGCCCTCCTCCGCATTGGCCACGACTCGTCTTAGCTCATCGATGTCGTTATCCTGTGCTGAAGCTGGGGCGGCGGCAATCTGGATTGCTCATCAGATTTGTGGTATCGTCAGGTAGGCTGATCAGCAAAACCTGCGTGAGCCTGTCAGCCTGGCTTCGTCCTGTACTGCGAATACGAGCTGAAGCATGAGCTTCTCAGGAGGGTTCGACTGAAGCCAATCATTAACTAACGCAAAGCTACATGCGCCAAGCACGGCCTTTGCAGCATGGGTCCCGCCTAAACTGTTGAAATCCTCAGCCTCAGACCGCTAAAGAAAGCACTTTCTCCAGAACACCCACGTCAATTTCCAGCAATTACAACGTCAACTAGATACCCAACATGCTGGAAAGGTAAATCGTAACATAGGCTTTCACAATTGAGCACCTCCCCGAGAACACCAAGGCCACGGGTGGACACCATAAATGACCATCACTTCACGCAATACCCCATTACGTGAAGGTCTCATCTAGTCTTACTTAGGAATCTGCTAACTATCTAGCAGGCCTACCCCCCCCCCCCTGTCATCACCAAGTGCCTTGACTGCTTCCACCAGAGCCCTGGAGGTGTTCACTGCATCCTGCTCAGCGAAGAGCCACCAAAGCTGAACCCCTTCTTCTCTGATGGTCTTTGGCTGCAGGGTTTGGGGCTACGATGTACAGGGGTGGGCTCCCTAGATTTGAATGCTACTAGGTCCGCTAAGTTTCCCTTGTGTCTCTGTCGTCGGCCCTACTTTCAGCGCTGTTTTTCCCAAGGTGGCCATTCTATAGAAATTTTGTGTATACAGCAAAGTAGACTTCCACGTCTAGTCTATCCCTTACTTGTAGGGGGAAATACAGAGCTCTGAACAGCCTTTCTGGGTTCCCAGGCGCGGTATGACGCTATATTAAGATCATCAGCGGACGCTACTTTAGAATTGCGTTATTGACTGTCGTTTTCATGAGAAAGGGTGATACTACGAGGCCCCATGGACAAAAGGCGACACATCCTGAGGATGATCTGGAGATTCGCCCGGGCTCTTTAGGAGGAATTCTGCACGCTTCCTTCAAAACCAGGTCGCACCCTACAAAAATTCTCTTTTAAATTGACAAGCCTTCCTTGGCGCAACATCTGAAATATGTACATGACGGCACAAGCAACGCCAGCAGAGGGTGCTGATGGCAGAGCGCCAACTTGACACGAAGCAGCCTTGGTCGTTTGAGCGGCCATATGAAGTTTGACCATGCGGTATGCTGACAAAGCAACGATTCGGCTAGCTACCTCTGTCATATTCTTGTGGTTACCACAGGGCATAATGAACAAGAATATCTGATACTGCTGACAGAGCTCTGCCTCTGCCAGCATTGCTACAGATCCGGTTGCTTGAGCTACTTTTCCTCTTCCTCCATGCCATTCCCCGGATTTCAAAAGCGAGACGAGACAACTTGGTGAATGTGCCCCATGTCTCGGGATGTCTGTAAGTTCTACATTTGAAGCAGCGGTCCTGCCACGCGATCGGATCGTCTTCGCGCAATTTCTCCAAGCGCGCCTGGCGTGGGTTTACTAAGGCCAAACCATGGAAACACCATCTGTATTGCGAAAGCGCAACACTGAGAGTACCTCAAAGCTTGCTATAACAAGACCGAGAGGGTCAGCAACTTGGCAGATGCAGCCGAGCTGCTGCCTCCGCCTGACACACTTCAGCTGCTGCTTTAGGATACAATAACGGGACGTTGGAAAACTGCAGTCTTACACCTGGTGAGGGTGAGGCGTCAGCAATGATCTTCTGGGCGGGTTGCTGTTCTGACAGGAATCACCTGCCAATCTTACGTCATCATGCGCCGCAGAATTCAGCCCAGAACTGAACATTTAAGCCTGTCGAGAAGGGCTGGATTGCATGATGGCGTGTCTGGCAAAGGCTACCAAATTTTCGGCCGCGGCATGCCAGTCCAGTCCTCTGCATCTTCTTCGAAGGCTAAGGGAGCAGTGGCGAACTTCGAGGTCCGCATGGCTGCGCCTGCGCTGCAGGAAGATCTCCCAGAGACTATAAGGAAAGGTTCATGACGACTTCAGCAATCCCCGGACTATGGTTCAACATGCTACATGGATTTGAACGTGGCGCTCAGCTTGCAGGGGGCGAAAGAGAGTCATGCCAAGCTGGGAGGAGGCACGGTGGCTGTAAGTGCCCCTCGTGTAATTCCACTTTTTGATCATTAGAATGTAGCCAGTTCCCGCCAAATCCTATCCGCCTGACCATAAGACTGACCCCCTCAGCTCGTAAGATCAGTTGGCAGACAGGCCTGTATGTGCAAAGACAAGGGCCAAGTCAGCGGAAAGCGGACGCTGTCACGTGCCACTCTGCTTTTGCTGCAATGGTTTGGGACTCCCTTGCTCAGAAGATGCATGTTTCAACGGGTCAAATGACTTGCTGCGGAATCGGTGAAATATCAGGACTGGAGCTAATCAGAAGGCCTTAATGCGGCTGCCACAACAAGTGTAGTTGCCACATGTTGCCACAACAATTGCTCTGGTGGATGCACGAGTGTGTATAGGACTGTAAGCTTTGGTCATCTGCGCATGATGTCTTACACTCTTCGAACCGAGCCAGAGGTACACCCTTACAATGCTGAGAACCCGAATATTGTACTGCCATGATCGACCACTGAGCACAACTTGTGCAGCCCAAGCTGCACAATCATGCTTTAGACTTCTGCTGGACCATTTGCACGTCAACTGTCGCACAATTTTGAACCGAACACCTCGTTGCCATACCATCATCTTTGGTGAAACTGGTTGGAAAACTGTCCACCCAGCCACACGTCTGGCAACACGTCTCGGCTGCCTCCTTCACTTCCAAAGCCGCAGGAGGGTCTGAGACCTCCTCCATGTCCATGCTGGCAGTTGAGTTGACGCTGGCGCAGGGTTCACGCTGAGCATCTTCCAGCCTAATGGGGCTTTGAAAGCACGACCTTGGACTCCGCCGTGGACGAACCCACGCAGCGCGTAAACAGCTGAATAGCCATCCCAGGCAATGCAGCTGAGTGAGCGTCGTGGCACAACCTACTTTGGCCATGTCCGCCCAGGTCTTGCTCCATGCGGAGAAAGCGTCGCAACTCCACGTCCACAAGTTTCACACCCACCGTGACCAAGTCCAGCACCTCTTCTGCGGTGCAGGCCTTAGCTGGTGACTCCTAAAGCAGGCATAGCCTTGGGTGTAGCATGGCATGTCTGACTGCTAAGATTGAGGCACTCCTGCAGCTTATTAGATAAGAGGGTGTCCACAGGACGGACCTTTGAAAGAACTGCTGGGTCGCCCCTGCCTGGAGCTGGGTGTTGGTGGCCAGTACTGTCAGGAGGGGCGGACATTGATCTACCTGGGCGCTTTTTTCACAGTCACTGCACAGCACAAAAGTATGGCCCACTCGTCCTATTTGCTCCCATCGGACTGAGCAAACCACGAGAGGTCCAACAAGCCCAAAATGCGAGCCACCTGCGTCCTGCACTCCGTGTCCTGACCACATGTCTTGCCAGCAGCACATGTACGCACTTGATAAAGGAAAGAGTAGATGCCCGTTGGGTACGAGACGCCATGACACAATCCTTACTTGTGCATATCCCTGGACACACAACCGCCCTTGCTTTTTCTCGACTCTATGATTCTGGGGTCTCAGAGGCGAATTGGAAGGGGTATTCGAACGAAAGGCAGCCAAACCAGCATGTCATGGTGCAAATCGACAACCTGGCCTCCAGGTTTAGCAGCTCCTCTGCGAAGACACAAGGGATGGGTCAAGAGCTGCGGCTCTTTTTGGGGGGCATTGTGTGACAGACACCATTAGCTGGAGATCTGGCTAGAGGCCGCAGAGTCTGGCGCACGGAAATTCGACTAGTGTCCCTGGCAACGGTGACACCGTGCTAGACCTTGAACAACCGGGAACATTTGCGCTTCAAGAAGGCCCGTCACATCATCTTGCCTGCTAGAAAGCCTCGTGTCCCGGGAGCAAGAAGCATACAAGCTAAACGGGGTTACGTAAGGGTCCCTGGGAGCAAAAAGCATACAAGCTAAACGGGGTTGCGTATGGGTCTTGAATCAGGCTATCATAATCTAGACCCTGCATAGTTAATGACTGGGTTTCCTTCTCCATTCTGGAAACTGAGCTTAAGTTTCTTGAATTCCTTTTTAATAGTAGTAGTCTCCATGTTCTTTTCCATTATCCCTATATAACCACCCTTTGAGGACTTTAGACTACAGCCCATATGGGCCCTAAACCCCTGCATAATCCCAGCTTTCCATTTCGTGTTCCCTGTCCTTTGCCAGTTGATTTTCCCTGATGGAGCCAACTCTGCTCCATGGGCCCAAGGCCGCTCCAAACTAAATGATCTAACATCTGGGGGTTTCAAAAGTTAGGGGCTTCCTGTTTTTGGGGGGTCCTTATACCATAAGGATGATAACATATTGGGGTCTAAGGGGCTTTCCCCCCTCCTTTATGGCAACTACGATCCATGTGCATCCGCAGGAGCAGCGATGCATGCAACAGCAAGCAGCCCTCTCCAGCAAGTCGCCGCAAAGATCAGCTGCAAGCTGGGACGGCCTCGTCAAAGCTGATCGGGATACACCCGCGTCATGCAGTACCAGCTATATCATGACTTTGATGCGGACATCGTAAGGTAAGCTTTGTATTGCTGCTCATTATGCAGTTTCAAGTTATGATGATGGCAAACAGTTGTTGTCCTTCTGGTTGCAATACTGGTACTTACCCTTTTGCCGAGCCTGGCGGCCACGTGTCGCCACAAAGCGCATCAAAGATGGTTTGACATCACCTCCTTGATGAGCGGCAGCCGCAAACGTGTTTCTTGACTTTCGGTCGGACTGCCCTCTTTCAGAGCATACTTCGGAACTTCGGGAATTTCACGGTGAGCTTGCAACAAGTGCTTCTTCCCACCCGACAAATCCGGGCCTGGAGCTCTCTGCGGGCAGCCGTCGCAACAAGGCTGCTGCTGCAAAACCGGCAGCCGTCCTGAAGACGAGGCAATTCGTAGCGGGGCATAGTCCGAAAATCCTGCTATATCTACAGTAATTTGTCATCATACTTCGTCTGGTTCAGCTGCAGACAAAACCACGCAGGAGTTTGTCCATTCTTGTCAGGGGCCCTTCTGGGCAGACCGAACTGCTTTTTTCCAGACCAACCCCCTTTCACGAAGTCTAAGCCGGTATAAGTGTTGAACGTGCAAGCTTGCGCCTACTCGTTCATCCCGAACAACCTGCTGCTGCACTGATACAAAGACCCGAGAATTCCTGGAAAAAGAGCCATGCAAACCCGTGCACGCAAAATCAGAGCAGAAATCCCAGAACGTTTCATCACAGAGTCTGAAGGACGAACACCTCAGCGTGCCCAAAAAATCTGCTTCCATTACAAATAGCTCACTTGGCGCCTTGGCGGAGCTCCGGGGGCAGCGAAGCCCTTCAAGGGCCGAGATTTTCTTGATTCGTAGAAGCCTTCTCTACATGTCAAAGGAATCTCTGTTTCAGTCTTTCTGGTAATTGAACTACCAAGGCTCTTGGTTGGACAGTTCTTCGACCTCCTCCACAAAGCTGGAATCTGCGTTTTGAAGTAAGGACCTCAACTGCCAAATATCCCCAAACAGTCCAATGACGCACTGGAATGAAACCCTCTGCCGGATCTTTTGAACAGGAAGTGCAGTCATCTTTTCCAGGGGTTGTCTATCACGATGACACTGTATGTTGCAGAGCAATCGCTGACCCTCCAACTCAAAGCTGACCCCAAACAAGACTGGAACCCAGACCCCATTAACATGTCAAAACCTTGAAGCCCCGATCACCCCGAGCTAGTGCAGGCCTAATGCAAACAAGCGCAGGAAGCAATGCTCAGCAAGTCGGTCTTCTTTTGAAAGGGAAGTGTGGGTAGATGTGTAAGTGAGAGGTCAGCTGACTAAAGCCTGCCGCTACCTCAAGTTACTACTTGCAGGTTCCAGGAAACCATGTCCTCTAAGTGTCCCCTGCTGTATTGGTGATGTGATCATTTCATTTGGCGTTGCTTGTGTTTCACCATCGCTTGTCTTGCTATAGCCAAGCACACAACCAATGGCCTCTGGATCCAGCGCCAGGTATCGTCTGCAGAGCTGGACCCGCCGGAGGAGCAGTTCTTGCTGCTCCGGCACGTGGATCAATGCCTCTGGCAAGTTGAGGCTCAGCTGGCATGAATGCAAGCCTCCCCGCAAAAAAAAAATCCGATACAGGTCTTCATATCGCTTGCGGCCTTAATATCTACATCACCAAGCCATGCCAAGCTCACATGCAGGCTACGCGCTTTAAGGCGATCAGGCTCTGCTGCCTCGCTTGAACAAGAAGTCATCTAGCTTTGGCGATGTAAAGGACCCAAGGGTCCCGAGCCAGGAAAGCAACATCAGCCAAAACCGCGTCACACGTAGCCTGTAAGATTTTGAAAAGATAGCTTCCGGAGCACATATTCTGCATGCAAGGAAACATGGCACGGGGTGATCACAGCTGCGTTCTCTGCATTATTTCCGGCCATTCATAGCTCTGGGGCGACAAGCCCCCGCATGAAGGAAGGATTCATAGAATAGCCGTGCAATTCGCTATGTAAGCTTGCTCACTTTGCTTGCACTTCGGGTCAACACCAGTGATGTAGCGAATCGCCTCCTACTTGGCGTAGCAAATCGAAAGCTCCAAATTTGGATCCTCTTCGCATCCATCAACAGAGCCGCCAGCCAGCATGTGCAGGATATCTGGAAATATAGCCATGACCAGCATCATCATCAATATACATGAACATCACTGTGCTTCAACATTGAACCTCACAGAGGTCCGGACAGCAAATGGGAAGATGAATTGCTCGAAGTCCATCTGAGCCTGGCGAAGACAAAAGCATTGCACCGTTGGCCTCACCCTCTGTATGTCCCCTTCGAATGAAGCTGTTCTCCTTCTTACACCTGGGAACGGTGTAAATAGGACAATTCAGGACATGGGCAG